AGTTTCAGCTTTGCAACCATACTTCCCCCGGAGCCCAAAGACTTAAAGGTTTCCCGGGGACTGCCCGCGGGGACAATAAAAGAACCACCGCGGATCGTCAGTTGGCATCGTTTATGGTCAGAACTAGGACGGTATCTGATCGTCTTCGAACCTCTGACTTTCGCTCCAGATCAATGAAAACATCCTTGGCAAATGCTTTCGCTGTAGTTTGTCTGGCGGCGATCCAAGAATTTCACCTCTAACACCGCCATACAAATGCCCCCGTCTGTCCCTCTTAACCATTACTTCGGATCCGAAAACCAACAAAATAGAACCGAAGTCCTATTTCATTATTCCATGCAAGAATTTTCAGGCTCTGTGGCCTGCTTTGAGCACTCAAATTTGTTCAAAGTAAACGTGCCGTCCGCATCCGACACCCGTTGAAAGGCATCGAGAAGCATGCCAACTAAACAGCGAGACGAACCCACTGATAGCCAGCACCTGGAAACCAGACACGGCAGAAAGGCTGCACAACCACGACACTGACTCACAAATCCGCTCCAGTCGTAACCAGATTGGAAATACGAGCGCAGCATGTAGCCATGCGACCCAGATCCAACTACGAGCTTTTTAACTGCAACAACTTTAATATACGCTTCTGGAGCTGGAGTTACCGCGGCTGCTGGCACCAGACTTGCCCTCCAGTTGATCCTCGTACAAGGATTTAAAGTGTACTCATTCGAATTACGGAGCCTCTGATGAGTCCCGTATCCGTATTTTTCGTCACTACCTCCCCGTGCCGGGATTGGGTAATTTGCGCGCCTGCTGCCTTCCTTGGAAGTGGTAGCCGTTTCTCAGGCTCCCTCTCCGGAATCGAACCCTGATTCCCCGTTACCCGTTATCACCATGGTAGGCAGGTCACCTACCATCGAAAATTGATAGGGCAGACATTTGAAAGATCCGTCGCCGACACAAGGCCGACTGCGATCAGTGAAGTTATCCAGAGTCATCACAGAGTGCAACGGAAGTGACCAAGGCCACAACCGGTTGGTTCTGTTCTAATAAATCCACCCGTTCCCTCGCGGGTCAGGGCATAGTGGCATGTATTAGCTCTAGAATTACTACAGTTATCCATGTAGTATGTACGATCTAAGGAACCATAGCTGATTTAATGAGCCATTCGCGGTTTCACCGTTTGAAGGTCTGTACTTAGACATGCATGGCTTAATCTCTGAGACAAGCATATGACTACTGGCAGGATCAACCAGATTGTTCACCACGTTCAGGTCCCGCAGACCAGAACAAACACCACACGGAGCACCAACCGTGCGGACCATGCAATTTCTCTTCACCGTCAGGATCGCCCTATCCCGCGGCCTTCATTGCTTGAAAGCAATCGGATTATCGTTCAAACACAGTTGATGCAGGTCATGCCCCCATTGACCGCTCAACGTACAGAACAAGCCAGTCGGCTTAACCAAGGTAAGAGCATCACGCACACTCAAACAGAGATGACTGACAACAGCCCTCGCCCGCAAGGTGCACGCTAGCCCCGAACAGAATGATGAAATCCACCCGCCAATGGAGCAGTAAACGGTTACGAAATGCGCAACGGCCGCACTATGAAACGTTAATCAGTGCACCGAGCAACACGTCGCAACGACAGAGCAGGCATGCCCCGGTGGATCCGGTGCATTATAAAACTGCCAGGCATAGCCGATCAGACCACAGGTAGAGTGGACAAGTCGCATAGTTGCCCGACATGATGTCGATGGGCAATGAGACTCACCACTACGGCCGGGTTTTGTACCCCGGCGCACCGAGTGCGGGAAAACACTCGTTGAGGCATTTGAAACCTTATGGTATGTTGTTCTTATTCAGTTTTGTTAACCCTTTCGAATGGTGTGTATGGTTTTTCTGTGAGGACAGTGATTGCGGACAAATTTATAAGTTTAACTATTTTGACCCAGTTTCTCTTTACTGGTTTAGGCTACTCCAGGCTTATTGCGGCCATAAATGCATGGTTCGTAATGTGCTGCTACATCCAATGAGACCAAAATTGCGGAAATCGGTTGAGCAGTTTTTATGCTCCAGCGGTTTTAGTGTGGTCTTTATTTGGCCTTTAAATTTACTTTTTATTAATAATCTAGATCTTACTTCTGTTTCTTCTAAACGCTTTTTATAGAATAAAATTTATGCATTTTGCTACAATATTTGTTTATATGAGCTGACACCTAGGCATTTTCTACGGGAAGCTTGGGAGTAATTTAATAATTTTTCTCGTTTTTTTCCGTTACTGTTTAGTTATATTTATGTACTAAGGTACAAACTAAATATTTCTTAACTTTTGGACAGATTTTTCTACTTTTTAATTCATTATTGCTTCCTGGATCCCTACTCTGTGATCTACCCACGAAATCCGGTGTGCATTATTTATGTATTTATTTTTTCTTTACACCACCTGTCTTATTCTAATTTTTGCTACCCCTTCCGTCTTTCTACTAAGTTTTACAATGTTCGGACACCTTCTTAGGTTGCATTCCTTATTACCTGCCCTGCAAGATGCATTTTCCCAACGCTTTATTGCCCCTTCGGCACATAGCCTTAGTTATACGTGACCCATTCCCCTTAATTATCCGACTTCGCTAGTTGTCTCTGTATGTAGGCCTTTCCGCCTCGGATTACCTGGCCCTACTGAGTGTCTATTTGCAAGGCTTGTCCTACCTAGCCGTACCAACGTTCTCCGCAATAGGATTATTTTCTGCACGCAACTGACACTGACCCTATAGTATGCTTGATCTTTTCCTACCACACTGCTTTTATACATATACTTTACTAGGGTTCCACCACATCCTCTTCACTTAGATTACCTAGCATTTATTTATTTACATTTATCTGGCCCGAGCTCTATGGTACCCGCGTCTCTCAGTCTCCCAATCTGTTGTCACCTATTCAAACCTGCACATGGATCACCAGTTCAATCAGCCTCCCGCGCCCACGGTATCTCCACTACCAAACTCCAACCCTCCCCTCAACGCTCTTGGAACATTTACATCGCTGCTCTATCTGCCACCGCTGCAACTCTACACTTGCCGGCTTGAAAGGACGGTCGCCGAGAATGGCCCTGCTTCCTGCCCCGTCTGCGACCGATCGTTTCCTACGGCTAGAGCCTTGGTGACACACTGAAGGAGGACTCACAAGGATGACTATCGCGCCCTCATGTCATCGAGGAGAGCTATTCGGAGCGTCTTCTGGACGAGGGAAGAAGACGCCGAATTAATGCGATTAGCCAACGAATTACATTCCGGAGAGAAGCTGCTGAAATCCCTGTTGGCACGGCTTCAACAACACTTCCCCCACCGAACCGTGGCCACACTGAAGACGAGGTTACAGCACCTTCACTGGACGAAGCCGAAGCTGGACGTCACTCAGGCAGCACAGGAAAGAAGCGTCCGATCAGCAGCTAGCACCGAACTTTCTTCTGCCTCTTCTACGATAACAGAAGACTACCCCGAATCCGACGCCTCTACATCACCAGAACCCATCCCCGCCGAAATAGGCCAAGAGCACCCTCTCATGCTACCACAACCCCTCGTCAAGCTGACGACGATGACGTACTTCCCGGTCCCTATCCTAACTCCGGACCCACAAATCCCACCGTACCTCCTTTCTCCACCCCACTACAGCCGCGGATAAGGGTCGGTGAACGACCCGCGGCGCAGGCGCCCGCCTGTAACCTGACTACTCCCGCCCCGCTGTGTCAGGGCGGCAGTGTAACTGGAGATGACACCAATGAAAGCACCACTACCGGATCGGCCCCTGTTGATCCCATCTCCAGTACGCGGAACCAGCTGCCTATTCCCTTCCCTCACCCCCCAACATCACCTACAGTGATTCACAGTGCCCCGTTCAACGACGTCTCTCCCGAAGCCTTTCGTTGTGACCGATGCCCGCGCACCTTCCGGCTCCGGTCAGGTTTACTGAGACACAGGGCAGCCCATGCCCGAAACCCAGCCATACGGTTATTGCCACCAATAACCCCAACCTGCTCAATCTGTCAACAGCGTTTCCACAAAGTTGTAGGCCTCTCGCAGCATATGCGCCACATACACCCTTCGGAGTACAACGCCAAATACTTGCAACAGCTACCTCGCTACACAATGCGCTGGAGCACCTTAGAAGATACCACCTTGCTCCGACTTGCGCACCAACTAAGTGGCTCTCATCCAATGCTCCAGGAACTTCTTCCGGCTATACACGCTTACATGCCAAGAAGGTCAGTGGAAAGCTTAAAGAAGCGGCTTCAACTTCTTAAATGGCGACGCCCATCACGTAACGTTGCTTCATCCTCAGCGCGCCCGCATAGTAACTACACCAACCGCTCCAGGGAGGTATCCTCCCCATCCTCTCCAAGTTTAGATACCTCAGGCTCGTCCGGGGAGTCGCTTCATGTAGATCTTGTGACCTCAACAGTGCTGATTACATCACATGCGCTTCCAAATCCACGCGACGCAGCCGAGTACATCGCCAGTGAGATTCCACTCCAAAGATATCACAGCCTTCCAACATCGCCCACGTTAGTTGCGGCCGAAACACATCCAAGTCCAATTTCAGTCGATCCGGTCATCACAACATACAGAGAACCAGTCATGCAAGAGTCCAGTCTATTTGTGCCCAAATGCATATATCAACCTCCTCCCGTGGACCTAGGTGAGTCGGACATTGTTGACCTAGCTCTTTCAACAACGGAAGCGTCATCCCCGCTACCCGACACTATCCTAGACCCCGATCCCTCGACAGAGGCCGATTCACCTACCTCCTACATCCAACTAATAGACGCGGCAATCACAGTATTACAAGCCTCGACCGCTAAGACTCCGGTCTCCGCGAGACTCCTTTCCATCCTACGGAGTCACCGAGAAAAATCCCAACCTATGACCTCTTCGCAAGGGACCTCGACGAGTTTTGTCGAGTTACCTACCCGCACACCTGGAGACCATCCAAACCCAAGCCTCAGGCCCCTAATCGCCGGCAACTACGTCGTTTACAATATGGCCACCTGCAACGGCTATACCACCTCCGACGCAAAGATGCCGTCGCGACCGTACTTGATGGCCGATGGCGTACGGCCTACGCTGACTCCACGAAGCGCCGGGACAATTTCAATTCACACTGGTTTGACGTCCTCCAGACCCCGGCTGCCGTCGACGCCAGACCACCAATGTCATTCTTAGAGAGTAACGCCACACTCGTGAATCCCATCTCAATTGACGAAACCGAGAGCTTTAAGGAACTTGGAAGGATGCTCACCCGGAGTCGACCGCGGCACTGTGGGAGACCTTCGCCGCTTACCGGGAAGCTACCTAGCTGCTTTTCTAAACTGTCTTCTAGCCGCCTGCCCATTTCCCAGCCACATAAACGTGGCCCGGATAACGTTTGTGCCCAAGTTTCCGGGAGCGATCGAACCAGGCGACTTTCGTCCTATCTCAGTGACTTCCGTCTTCACCAGGCAGTTACACAAAATCCTGACTGATCGCTGGCTTCCTTCCTTCCCGCTAGACCGCCCACAATTTGGATTCGTCAAAAAGGACGGCAGTTTTGAGGCGCCGGCTATCCTGCACGCCTGCATGCGACATGCCCACTCGAACTGCCGGAACCTATCCTTCGCTACCCTCGACATATCTAAAGCATTCGACCTGGTATCACACGACTCTCTCCTACGCGCCGCCGAAAGTTTTGGTGCCCCCACTCACTTACTCAACCACCTACGCAGCTATTACCATACAGCAACTTCCCGGATAGACGACTGCGACTTCCATCCCAATCGTGGAGTCAGGCAAGGTGATCCGCTCTCTCCTTTGTTGTTTATAATGACTCTGGACGAGGTGCTTAAGTCAACCACCCACTTCGGTTGGCAATCGCCGGGTGGAACGATCGACTACTTGGCCTATGCAGATGACGTCATCCTGCTCGCCCAAGACCGGGCCAACCTTGAAACTAGGGTCGAATGCCTGGCGTCATCGCTGGAACTGGTGCGGTTGAAGTTGAATCAGCTGAAGTCAAGAGTGGTTGACATTGTCGCAGACGGACGGCGTAAATTGACAATTAATAACACGGCACCCCTAACAACGAATTACCTCGAAGTCGCTTCTCTACAAATTGACGAGGAATTTAATTTCCTTGGCTTGCCTTTTAACTGGAGGGGCAAACTGCCTACGTCCACACTGACGATCATCAACCAGACGTTGCGCGAAGTTTCTCAAGCGCCCTGAAACTACCACGTCTGGATATCCTGAGAACATTCTTTATCCCTCGACATATACACGCACTATCGTTGGCCGTTGTCCACAAGGCGACAATCAAAAAGATCTACCTTTCCGTGCGCCGCCACATCCGCCAATGGATACAAATTCCTTCTGATACAGCGACAGCGTTCTTTCATGCCGACATCCTAGACGGTGAGCTTGGCATTCCCAACCTATCCACACAAACCCCTCTGCTTCGACGCACTCGACTAGAACGACACTTATCCTCCAACGACCCAATCAAGCCTAGCATACGGAGGCAACTCGAGGAAATACCCAAGGTGCGGAGACCATAGGATGATTCTGAGTAAATATGTCCACGGTTGGAGATAATGAGGGGCAGGTGTATCAGTTGCAGAAAGTCGGTTTCTCGGGCCCGGAGCCGGTCGACCATGGCAATGTTGATTTCCGGCACCCCGTACTTAGCAATTTTGAGATCCCAACTCTCACGCAACCTGTAACCCGCCACGATTGTCACATCAACCACATAAGCCACTCGCCCGATAACGATGATAAGATCGGGTTTGCAAAAGCTACGTACTAGTGGAATATGCGGTTCCTCATGTACCTCAACTGCGAACTTTCGGAATAGCTCAGCCAGTTTCCTAGCCACCTTGTTGTGGTGCAAGATCCTAGCTTTGTGCGTCTTAGCACACTTCTGAAGGATATGGTTTATAGACTCGGGCTCCCCACACCCCCCGAACAATTAACGTCAACCAAGCGGGCTCCCCGGCTACTCCTGACATGGGTGAACAAACACCCTGCACGCAAATGGATGGAACGGATGTACAATCGAGAGAACATCTTACCAGGATGGGATAGCCATGAGGTGGACTCCACGCCCATAGGTTCAGTAGTCAAATCCCTCCCGTCTGAACTCGACAACCACAATGCTCTCCAAGCCGCTGCGGCCTCCTCCTTTGTGCACACCACAATTCCACCTACTCTGACGGGCTGGTTAACCGCATGGAGTATGCGCGCGTGGCCCCGCTGCATTGCCACCACTTTAACAGTAGCATGCGGTGAACCAAGCAACTTGGCGAACCGTTCCCTCTGCAACAAAAGTATCAACACAGAAACACATGGAATACCGAGTCCCCCCGCTTGCGAGGGTGTATGTAGAAACCCATTAACCGCATCCTTGGGTAGCTTAAGCCACCGTCTGACAGAGTCTCAAATCTGGACATCGAGACGACGAAGAACTCGTCGTTTTACGGCTTGAAGAACCAACTGGTGTAGGAACTTTGGTACTAAAAATACCAAAAGGATCTCCATTCGCTGACTTGGCTTCAACGGCGCCCGTGTGATCCGGTTCAGGTAAGTAACCAGCTCCTGACCAATCAACCCACGGTTTTCCCTCTCCAAAAGAATTCCAGACCGAGGTAACGGACAACCGTATCCACTTGCATCAACGGTAAAGACTCCTCCTCTGGACGGTATACAGTTGGTGCCAAGGCAGTGTTACCCACCTTTCGATTAGCCAGAATCGTCATCGACATTGATTTCTTGATGTTTACCAACATACCAGCTCGTGCCAGAGCGGCCTCGGTGGCGGTCAGTTTTGCAGATAAGCTACTACTGTTCTCTGCATAAAGAACAAGATCATCGGCATAGGCAACGGCGTCAAGCACTGTTGATCCCAATGGAAAACCAATAGACGGGTCTGCCGCCAGCAGTACCTCATCCATGGCCATGATGAAGAGAATTGGGGACAGTGGATCTCCTTGACGTACGCCGCGTCGGTTGTGAATAGAGCAATTATACAGCGTGGCTTCACCACACATGTATATGTTTCGGATATATGTCATCAATAGCGGTGGAGCTCCAAAGGACCGTGCACTACGGAGGATCGTATCGAACGACAGGGAGTCAAAAGCCTTGGAAACGTCAAGAAAGGCTGTCGCGAGACTCCTACTCTTACCCGCGCTTGCGCGCAGCGCCTCGTGTAGTGCTGAAGTGGCCTCCAGGCACCCATCCCTCGACAAAAATGCAACCTGAAGGGAATTGAGCACCAGCTTCTGAGACCACCTTTTAACAAGTACCTTATGTAGACACCGTATTATGACTGAGGCTACCGCAATCGGGCGATAGCCTGATGGTTTCTCTGGTTTGTCAACTTTGGGAAGAAGACATATTCGAGCTTTCAACAGGTGCGGTGGTGGGCAACCTGTATATAGAATCAAGTTCAGATACCCCTTCAGAAACGACGTTGGTATCTTGCGTAGGCTCTTGGGTGTTAACCCATCAAGACCGGCAGCCGAGTCAGTATGCATTCGGCGAACGGCATCCTTAACCTCCTCAGAGGTATTAGGTGCTACTAAGCTCCAATCCATGTCCGCGCACTTCCTAGGCGTCCTATCGTCCGGCGTACTGGGAGCATCCAGCACATCCTTCCAATAGGTTAACAGCTCAGCTTGAGAGGGACCAGCCGCCTCGGTAGACGACGATCACGTACCCTCTAACACCTGCCTGCCGCATCTTTCCGCCTGCGAGCAAAAGTCTCTGGATCTTTGCATAGCAACGTCGCCGTTCGACTCGCGCTGACTTGGGTTTAGCGACTGGCTTACTGGCCCGCGGGCGATGAACCGGTTGGTGAGGAAAATGCAACTTCGCATGCGTGTCTAGCTTCTTCGACAAACTTTCACCACACACAGCTGCCCTCCTCATCCCGCACCGCGTCCATCAGTTTCAGCCTCCCCAGTTGGTCCGATCCTGTCTCTGTCGACAAGAGATCGGCGGCTGCTTGTAATATTGGAAGCACAGATCGAACTAGGACTGGTTCAGAGTCAATGCTCGTCAATGGACTTGGCGTCCTATCCAGGTCGACGTCACGCTCTAATGGGGTCACATCGGGTATTACTTCGACTGAACCCTGTCCCCCACGATACGCGTGCCTCTTTAAGCGTAGGAAGATAGCCTCTACGGTCCTATTAGGTAGCTGCCGGGTGAGAGTTTTAGCCAGCTCACGCAGACTTAAAGCCGAAAGCCTGTGGCCACTGACACTCTCCGCGAGAACTCGGTCCTCGTTGCCCGACCAATTCTTAGGAAACCGCGTCATTAGCTGGAGCTTCCTTTCATTGTGCTCTCGAGGATGTTTATGCCTACGATGTTGCCCAAGAGATATACGGGATGGGAAATCGCGTCCGCAGAACTCGCATTGGATACCATTTCCTCGGTTTCTCAAAACTAGTGGGTCGGAAACGTCCGCCTCCGTAGATGCCTGAACAACACCTACTTCGGCATCAAGCACCGTAGAGTCATCACTCAGGCACATATCCACCAAGTCCATGACAAACACCTCCGTCTTCCATCAGGCTCGATTGCAATATTATCTGTCCGAAAACATCGCACGGCATCCCAGTTAGCAGGAACCCGTGTACCGAGTCTTGTTCTTGTGTTTCAAGAAACTGCTCACTCACTGACGCGGCCCGGTCCAACGTGCCAACGTTGGTGGATGAACACCGCCTCGCCAGTGAGCTCGCGATACTGTCAGTTTCAATTGGAGCTTTGGCCTCGGAACCCTCTGTCGGTCGGTCACTGACTGCGTGCCCGACGCCGTCAATTCCGTTGGACATGCTTTTCGGATCACCCACATTGTGTGTGCAACTCACACACTGGTCGTGCAGAAGTTCCCACCACTGACGTGGTAAAACTGCGCCGGGATCTTGCACGTCTTGGTTGCATGTTACAGATGATGTAAGACGGAGACTGGGTCTCTCGTCCCGTGTGCGGAACACACGCTGATAAACGAACCTGTTTGTGATGGGTAATACGGTAGGTGTTAGGGCAGCACCCGGATCCGGAGGATCTCCTTTCAACCGTCCCCATGCTGTAGTGTCTACAGCTTTGAGTACATCATATCAGGCAGAACGGGCATCGTCAATTTCGGTATATTCCGTCGACATACGACGGGGACTGGGTCCCTCGTCCTGCGTGCTAATAACACGCGTGGGATACGGATGGGTAATCGTAGTGCGAGGCAGCACCCGGATCCGAGGATCTTCAACCGTCCCCATGCTGTATGTCTACAGCTGCGTGTATGTTTTACTGACGCTCAATCCATAGTTTCAGGGGCCACAACTGTATTGGATACAGTGGCGTGACTTGTACACTAAGCGAACCAGTCGCGACATTGCGGACGCTGTTCGCTGATAGTCCGACCGTCGGACGCAAGCTTCCCCCCAGGCGTCCAACCTGTGCGCCTCCGCTCCTCCAGATTTAGCTGCAGACAAGCATCGAAGCCTCGAAGGGCCGCAACACAAGCCCACATTACTAGCGGGGCCGCGAAGAGGCACTGGAGTTCCGTAACTATTCCTCCCACACCTTCACGCCAAGGCGGTGATCCTCAAGGGAACACTCTTTAAGCCGGTCGCATATACCAACAGCCGAAGCTTAAGGCAAAGCTCAAGGCACCAGGGACGGAAGATGTTAGAGAGTCATAGTTACGCCCCTTGATACGGCGTATCCCACGCGTGTTATTAGCACGTGGGACGAGGGACCCAGTCCCCGTCGTATGTCGGCGGAATATACCGAAACTGACGATGCCCGTTCTGTCCGATATGATGTACTCAAAGCTGTAGACACTACAGCATGGGGACGGTTGAAAACAGATCCTCCGGATCCGGGTGCTGCCCTAACACCTACCGTATTACCCAACACAAACAGGTTCGTTTATCAGCGTGTGTTCCGCACACGGGACGAGAGACCCAGTCTCCGACTTACATCATCTGTAACATGCAACCAAGACGTGCAAGATCCCGGCG